GCCTGGTCCTGAATGGGGTAACTGTGCCACTGAAGGACCAGGTGCGCAGCCTGGGAGTCATTTTGGACTTGCAGCTGACCATGGGGGCACAGGTCAATTCTGTATCCAGGGCAGCTGTCTACCAGCTCCACCTGGTATGCAGGCTGAGACCCTACCTGCCCACGGACTGTCTCGCCAGAGTGGTGCATGCTCTAGTTATCTCCCGCTTGGACTACTGCAATGCGCTCTACGTGGGGCTACCTTTGAAGGTGACTCGGAAACTACAACTAATCCAGAATGCGGCAGCTAGACTGGTGACTGGGGGCAGCCACCGAGACCACATAACACCAGTCTTGAAAGACCTACATTGGCTCCCAGTACGTTTCCGAGCACAGTTCAAAGTGTTGGTGTTGACCTTGAAAGCCCTACATGACCTCGGGCCAGTATACCTGAAGGAGTGTCTCTACCCCCATCGTTCTGCCTGGACGCTGAGGTCCATTGCCGAGGGCCTTCTGGCGGTTCCCTCCCTGTGAGAAGTGAGGTTACAAAGAACCAGGCAGAGGGCCTTCTTGGTAGTGGCGCCCGCCTTGTGGAACGCCCTCCCATCAGATGTCAAAGAGATAAACAACTACCTGACATTTAGAAGACATCTGAAGGCAGCCCTGTTTAGGGAAGTTTTTATTGTGTGACATTTTAATATATTTTTAATCTTTGTTGGAAGCCACCCAGAGTGCCTGGGGAAACCCAGCCAGATGGGTGGGGTACAACAAATAAAGTAGTAGTAGTAGTAGTAGTAGTAGTAGTAGTAGTATTGTATAGATCTCAGGGCAGTTCTCAGCGTAAAAACACATAATGCGTAATAAATAATAAAAACAAAAACAACAGGGAAGGGCAGCTGGAGTCTGACTTGGGAGAGGGAGGCAGTGATTTGTAGGGACCTGTACCGGCCAGGAGGCAAGAGTCAGAGGCAGGTGGAGAACAGGATGGGTTGGAAGAAGAGGAGAAAGAGGCAGATCAGTCAAATGAGGAGCTGGGGGCTTCGCCACCTTCTCCTGCACCTCTTGTCTCACAGAACCAGGAGGGGATTGAAGAGGGATGAGCTGAGGCAACTTTCACGCAGGCTCAGTCTCTGGCTGTGTGCACACAGCCCGTCGCGGGAAGGGACCTAAATTGGTGGAGGGGGAGAGACTGAAGGAGCGTCTCCACCTCCATCGTTCTGCCCGGACACTGGGGTCTAGCGCCGAGGGCCTTCTGGCAATTCCCTCGCTACGAGAAGCCATGTCACAGGGAACCAGGCAAAGGGCCTTCTCAGTAGTGGCACCTCCCACCAGATGTCAAAGAGCAAAATAACTACCAAACTTTTAGAAGACATCTAAAGGCAGCCCTGTTTAGGGAAGCTTTTAATGTTTAATAGGTTATTGTATTTTAGTGTTTTGTTGGAAGCCGCCCAGAATGGCTGGGGAAACCCAGCCAGATGGGCGGGGTATGAATAATAAATTATTATTATTACTCCTGTTGCTGCAACTGCTCCATAGAGCACAGACCTGGGAACAGCAGCCTAGACACTAGGCTGGTGTGCGTGGGTACCTTAAAGAGCGAGGGGTGGTAAAGCGTGTTCATGCTGCGCAATGTGAGCACCTTCAGGGATCACCATCCTCATTTCAAATAAGGTGAGCAGGAGGAGCTCCAGATACTTTTCTAGTTTGGACTAAAATGAAAGCCCAAGGAGGATGGATGCTTATCCACGTCTCTGACCTCTCCCCTAACGTGCTTCTGTTTCAGCCCTGCTTCCTGGCTGATCTAATGAGGATGGCACCAGCCCCGCCCTGGTCCTTGTTACTGCATTTGCTAGGGAACACCAAGGCCTTTTTTTCTTGGTGTGCTGTAGTGCACCTTTAAGTGGGATAAAGGGAGGCAGGAGAGAGGGGGAAAACCTCCCGTCCTCCCCTCTCCCTGCAGCCACAGCACCCAGTCTTCTGCTGATGCCAGTCTGGCTGATGAGTGACATTTGAAAAGAAGGGGAGGTGAAGATGGGAGTTCTTGACAAAGGGATTTGAGGCTTTATAGGTCATAGAATTGTAGAGTTGCAAGGGACTCCAGCGGTCATCTAGTCCAACCCCATGCATTGCAATGGGTGGGAAGGTTCAAGAAATGAACCAAGCTATTATTATTATTATTATTATTATTATTATTATTATTATTATTAAGCTCTGCTTTGCTTATCACCAAGCCAATCTGCTGCAAATGGTGAGGAACTCACCTAGAGCATAGGTAGGCAAACTAAGTCCTGGGGGCCGGATCCGGCCCAATCGCCTTCTCAATCTGGCGGCCCTCGGTCGGTCCAGGAATCAGTGTGTTTTTACATGAGTAGAATGTGTCCTTTTATTTAAAATGCATTTCTGGGTTATTTGTGGGGCATAGGAATTCGTTCATTTCCCCCCCAAAAAATATAGTCTGGCCCCCCACAAGGTCTGAGGGACAGTAGATTTGCTGACCCCTGACCTAGAGCATTTTACATTCATTGTTGGATTCGACAATAATGCTACCTGGTTGTTGTCATACCATCCTTACTGCTTACACACACACACAACCACACAAAAGATTTGCCAGTGGTGGCGGTAGAATATTGTTGTTTGTATAAGGTCCAACAGAAGACCTGAACCTTTATCGAATAGTAAAAGCAAATGACAGGCCTCGTCCCCGAGGAGCTTCCAGTCCAAATTTTGATGGGGGGGGCAGTAAATACAGCAGTGGGGTGGGGGGAGAGAGACAGAAAGGCCAGACCCGGTATTTAGAAGATGGCTTTGACTTGCTTTCCGGTGCCCTTTGCCCTGCTGAGCCCAGCACCAATTAGCTGCGAAAGGTGTCACAAAGAGCTGCCAGCCTCTCGCTGGCCCTGACCTGACTCATTAACACAAATAGATGCTAATTGCCAAATACCACTGGCAGCAAGGCCAGGCCAGGCTTCGCAGGGTCACCTTAGCCCAGTTCCCACAGGAAGGACAGCTCCAGTGTCAACACCACTGCTAGCTGGAGTAATCGGAGCTACTGTCTCAGAGGCAGTTCTGTGTGGGGATGTCAGAGAGAAAGAGAGAGAGAGTGAGTGCTGCTAGGTCACTTTTAGATGCCAAACTTAATGGCCTTATGGGGCAGGGAGGCTGCTTAGATCATGATGTACATTAGGAAGAACCTAGATAGCGGCTGCATAGGCAGTGTTGCCTACCGAGCGGAGTCTGCGAGGGGCTGTGCACAAGGGGATTAGGCCACATATCTGTGAAATTAAAATGGTCACTCAGGTATCTCCCTGGGTTTTCATGGGAAGGGGATGGCTGGCTGCCTTGCAACCTGGTAGGGCGGAAGGAGGAGAATGGCCGGACTGTAGGGAATGGCTGGCAAGGAAGAATACGGCGTTGGCTGGCTTGCTCTGCTTCCTTGAGCTTTCCACGGCTCCCTGGTCTGCTGCTCTTGCCAAGCCCAACCTAAGAGTCATTCTCATACCTGCTCCCCATCTGTTCACTATTATCACGCTTAAAAAGGTAAAGGGACCCCTGACTATTAGGTCCAGTCATGACTCTGGGGTTGCAGCGCTCATCTCGCTTTATTGGCCGAGGGAGCCAGCGTACAGCTTCAGGGTCATGTGGCCAGCATGACTAAGCTGCTTCTGGCGAACCAGAGCAGCGCACGGAAACGCCGTTACCTTCCCGCCGGAGCGATACCTATTTATCTACTTGCACTTTGACGTGCTCTCGAACTGCTAGGCTGGCAGGAGCAGGGACCGAGCAACGGGAGCTCACCCCGTCGCGGGGATTTGAACTGCCAACCTTCTGATCGGCAAGTCCTAGGCTCTGTGGTTTAACCCACAGCGCCACCCACATCCCTTTTATCACGCTTACTCAGAAGTAATTGTAATTTATTATTATGTGACCCACTTGTTTGATTTGGGCTTTCTTGCACCCACAACCATGTGTACATTCAGAGGGCAGATGACAGTCAGGTGCCACCAAGGGCTCAACTTTCTGTTGTTAACTGGTCACATAGCCATCCTTCACTGTGACCCAGATTCCCCATTCCCAGGTACATGCTCCTATAGGCGGCTGGGAACAGGCAGGTAGGTTCTCTGCCTGCCTGCCTGCCTATCTCCCCTCGCCCCATGTAGGCTGTGTGGTGACCCCCTCTCCTGGGTCACTCTCCTGGCCCCCTACCTCTGCCACACACCCTTCGGGAGCCCTGCCACTTCCCAAATTATGCACCTTTATCCATTGATTTGTGCTTGCGTGACATAGCTGTCGGCAATGTTGTTCAAGATTTGCATGGGGTTCCTTGTGAAGATAGCCTCGCGTGGTTGCAGGAGACTTGCATGCTCAGACAGCAGCCATTTGCCTTTGACGGAGGTAGCCAACTGGGTGCTCTCCAGATATCATTGGCCTCCCAACTCCCATAAGTGCCAGCCAGTGTGGCCAACGATCGGGGAGGATGAGATGGGTAGACCAACAACATCAGAAGAGGACCACTGCGAGGAACAGAACTTTGCACCACCAAACTCTGGTCACAGGCCTCTGTTGATCCTAGGGGTGGGGGGGGTGGGCAGCCTCCAGGCCGTGCCCAGCTGACAACGTTTTGTCTGCCACAACAGCTGGCAGCCCTCTCTATCAAAAGGGACAGCTGCTCGTCCCGCGCACCCGAGGAGGAGAGGCTGAGGACTGACAGGTTTGAGCAACAGGAAGAGAGGCTTGGCTTGCGCACTCAAGGACAAATCATGTACAGTGGTACCTCGGGTTAAGAACTTACCGTATTTTTCGCTCTATAAGATGACCAGACCATAAGACGCACCTAGTTTTTGGAGGAGGAAAACAAGAAAAAAAAAAATATTCTGAATCCCAGAAGCCAGAACAGCAAGAGGGATCTGGCTTCTGGGATAGCCTCTTGCTGTCCTGGCTTATGGGATAGCCGCACGCAGCCTCTCCCAGGCAGCGGGATGAAGGCTCCCCCAAGAGCCGCGCTCCCTTTAAAGAGCGTGCAGAGTGTGTGTGCGGCTCTTGGGGGCTTTTCCCCAAGGAAGAAGAAGGGCAGCCCTTCTCCCTCCTCGGGGAAAAGCCCCCAAGAGCTGCACACACGCTCCATGCGGCTCTTTAAAGGGAGCGCTGAGCAGAGCCTCCCGCCTGCATTCGCTCCATAAGACGCACACACATTTCCCCTTACTTTTTAGGAGGGGGAAAGTGCGTCTTATAGAGCGAAAAATATGGTTATTCATTCTGGAGGTCTGTTCTTAACCTGAAACTGTTCTTAACCTGAGGTACCACTTTAGCTAATGGGGCCTCCCGCTGCCGCCAGGCCACCGGAGCACGATTTCTGTTCTCATCCTGAAGCAAAGTTCTTAACCCGAGGTACTACTATTTCTGTAACCTGAAGTGTCTGTAACCTGAAGCGTCTGTAACCCGAGGTACCACTGTATACGTTAACTGGGAGAGAGCAGCCTCAGAGCTACAACGGTTAGCCGAGAAAGAGGGTACGAAATCCATCTCCGCTCTCGTAAGCCTGCCTCCTCAGCCCAGACGCGAAGTGCTGGAAGCAAGCAGTAACTCTCCGCGGCGGCTGCGTGAGCCAAGCCATGTGTCAGGCTGCTTTGCCTGCCTGTGATGGAGTGTTCTCATTACAGCAGTGCCCTCCCCGGCCTCTAAAGACTGCCCCCCCCCAACTTCAATTACTTAAAGGTACTCCCGTTCCAGACATTGGTTCCCTCCGCCTCCTGGAGCACATTTGGCTTAATGCAATGCTCACTAGCAAATGCACCATTAAGGTGGCCCCGAGGTGCTCACCTTAATGCGTCAGTGGGGCCTGCGGTACTGGAAGCAGCAGACGCCGGGGATGGAACTGGAACAAAAGCATTCTCAGGAGCTGCTGAACGCAGGCTTCCTTATTTCTCTCTTGCTCTAAGAACGCAAGGCGGGCAAAGGCAGAGAGATTCCAACACTGAGGAGAGAGAGAATTTAGCCCGTCTCCCCAGCTGTTAGTTGGCGGCAGGTAGGAGTGGAGGTGAGGCAGGAGCTCAATTCTCTTCCAAGGCACATCGTCTTCATACCAAGTGAAATTCACATTGATAAAAGGAGACAGATTCCCCGCAAGATCATCTCTTAGGCAGAGTCAGCTTTTCTTCTCCATAAGTCTAGGCAGCTGTCCAAGAAGGAGTATTGCCTACACCAGAGGGCAATACTCAGACCAGCGTTCTGCATTCCTAGTCAGAGGATGCATGCTGGCGATGGGCAGGGCCAGGGGCAGAAAATGGGCGGGGACAGAAGCAAAAGTGGGAGGGGCAATGGATGCCGCGCTTACCATTGTACAGTCGGTTACATTTCAGCTGTGCAAAAGCCAGAAATTTCTTCCCACACAACAAGTAAAGGTAAAGGGACCCCTGACCATTAGGTCCAGTCGCGGACGACTCTGGGGCCGCGGCACTCATCTCGCTTTATTGGCCGAGGGAGCCGGCGTACAGCTTCCAGGTCATGTGGCCAGCATGACTAAGCCGCTTCTGGTGTACTAGAGCAGCGCATGGAAATGCCGTTTACCTTCCCGCCAGAGCGATACCTATTTATCTACTTGCACTTTGACGTGCTTTCAAACTGCTAGGTGGGCAGGAGCAGGGACCGAGCAATGGGAGCTCACCCCGTCGCGGGGATTCAAACCACCAACCTTCCAATCGGCAAGTCCTAGGCTCTGTGGTTTAACACACAGTGCCACCTGCGTCCCCACACAACAAGTACAGCTGGTTTTAAAAATAAAATCATACCCCAATGACTGTTAAGAGAACAGTCTTTTTGCTGGGTTTTCAGATGGTTTAGAGAGATAATGCACTTGTTATCAATTTTTTGAGTCCATGGCTCCCTCGACCAACCCTGTTCTTTCTGTGGTTCCCCTGCGAGAGCCACTGGGGTTCCGTTAGAGGACATGCATAGGTGAGGGTTTTCCGGTTCTAGTCCTGCCGTGCTCCATTCTGCCCCACTGGTTCCCCAGAATCTTTCTGGGAGAGGGGAGAGAGATGACGCAGGAAGATAAGGGCTGCAGGGTAATGAAAGTATGCCCCCAGGGCTCCCTTGAATGTTCCCCAGGTCTCCCTAGGGTGACCCAGTGCACTGATGATGATGATGACAACAACAACAACAATTTATTATTTATACCCCACCCATCTAGCTGGGTTTCCCCAGGCACTCTGGGCGGCTCCCAACAAAATATTAAAAACATGATAAAAGATCAATCATTAAAAACTTCCCTAAACAGGGCTGCCTTCAGATGTCTTCCAAAAGTCAGACAGTTGTTTATTTCCTTGACATCTGATGGGAGGGCGTTCCACAGGGTGGGTGCCACTACCGAGAAGGCCCTCTGTCTGGTTCCCTGTAACCTCACTTCTCGCAATGAGGGAACCGCCAGAAGGCCTGTGGCACTGGACCTCAGTGTCCAGGCTGAACGATGGGGGTAGAGACCTTCCTTCAGGTATACAGGACCGAGGCCATTTAGGGCTTTAAAGGTCAGCACCAACACTTTGAATTGTGCTGAGAAACATACTGGGAGCCAATGTAGGTTTTTCAGGACTGGTGTTATATAGTCTCAGCAGCCATATACAGTAGCACCTCAGCTTACGTTACCTTCGGGTAATGTAAACTTTGGGTTGTGAAAGTGGCAAACCTATAAGTGTTTCGCCGCGCTTGCATGTGCGAAAACCTCAGGATCCAGCCGGACCTCCAGAACAGATCCCATTCACAACCGGAGGTACCACTGTAACTGACAACCAATGAGATAACCCGTTCATTAGATTAGCAAGGAGATTTTCGGTAACATTTCAAATTCGTGTTGGTGCTTTGACTCAGCTATTGTTATTGTTGTTGGGGTTTTTCCATGAGCTTTTTATTTGTTGTAGCCCACCTTGCACCATGTGGAAAAGCAATGTAGATAGAAATGTGTTGATAAGGTAAGCATGTACGCATCAGGCCTTCTCAAGCAGCAGCATCCCCTCTGCCTTGTCTGGATGTACCACCCAGAGGATGCAGCAACTGAGCCGGACTTGAGCCCTCACATAAAAAAATTACAAACCATCACTACCAGTGTCAACCTTCCCCTACCTCCTGATGTTTGGGACTATGACTGCCATCAGCCCCAGTCAGTCTGGAGGGCACTGAGTTGGGGAAGATGGACTCTCGGGATCTTTGGGGCTTATCAGTTGGTCCCTTACCTTTCCCGCCCCGACCTGGCCACAGTGATCCATGCGACGGTCATCTCCAGGCTTGACTACTGTAATTCGCTCTGCGCGGGGCTGCCCTTGAAGCTGTCCCAGAAACTCCAGCGGGTGCAGAATGCTGCAGCGAGGCTCCTCACGGGGTCTCTACCATGGGAGTACATTCACCCAGTGCTTTTCCAGCTGCACTGGCTCCCGGTGGAGTACAGGGTCAGATTTAAGGTGCTGGTTTTGACCTTTAAAGCCCTTCACGGCCTAGGACCCTCGTACCTACGGGACCGCCTCTCCCGGTATGCCCCACGGAAGACCTTAAGGTCCATAAATAGCAACACCCTAGTGGTCCCGGGCCCTAAGGAAGTTAGATTACCTTCAACCAGAGCCAGGGCCTTTTCAACACTGGCTCTGGCCTGGTGGAACGCTCTGTCTCATGAGACCAGGGCCCTGCAGGATCTGATTTCTTTCCTCAGGGCCTGTAAGACAGAGTTGTTCCGCCTGGCCTTTGGCTTGCAGCCAATTTGATTCCCTCCCCCTCTTTCTTTTTTCTTTTCCTTTCTCCTCCTGCGATGAGGCTACCTTTTAATATTTTAATGTTTCAATATTTTAATGTTGTATTTTAATTTTGTTTTTAAGTTGTATTCATTCAACTTGTTTTTATTATTGCTTGTTAGCCGCCCTGAGCCCAGCCTTGGCTAGGGAGAGCGGGGTATAAATAACAAATTATTATTATCATTATCATCATCATCAAAGCTACAGAAGCCAGATTTATCCTTGTGCCACACCCTCAGCTGAAAAAATTTGAGGGAGAGTTTCCCCATTCAGGTGGCAAAGTCATAGATTCACCAGAGTTGTAAGGGATCCTAAGCATCATCTAGTCCAACCCTCTGCAATGCAGGAATATGCAGCTGTCCTATACGGGGATCGAACTTGCAACCTTGGCATTACCACCACTGTGCTTTAACTAACTGAGCTATTGAGGTCACATGGCTCTCTGCCTCCTTTGCTAAGCCCATCGGGAACTAGCCCTAGCATCACCAACTTTTTGCTCCTGCTGCCTGAGATTCTGTGGGACTGGGATCTCAGCTGTGAGCTTTCTCCTCAGCCCTCCCACTTCTATCAGCAGCTTGACCTGCAGGCAGTAATGCCACTTTCATGTCAGAAAAGGACCACCCGTTGTTTTGTGTACATTGTGCTGCTGCTAAAGGCAGAAGAACAGGCCAGGCCATTTTTCTCCTGGTCAGTTGGCAACCCTAACTAAGGTCCTGATAACTAGCATTCTTCCTAGCTCCTTTCCGTCAAACCCTACTTGGTTTCCAGTGCCCTTTGTAACCTTCCTGAGCCCTAACAATGGATTCTCAGATTCACTCCTTCCTTCAAAGAAGAGTGGTTTTTGCTGCAGGAGGACTGAACTTGCTATCGCATACCTTTCAAACAGGTATAGAATAATCAGGCACTGCGTCTCAAGGTCTGAGCAACCCATCTGACTGCAAGACATGGAAGATGATTGATCTATTGTATTTATTCAAGAAATCTCAATTTTTTCCCCTGCCCTTAGGAGGCCAAAGGAGGTTGATGATCATCAGTGGCTCTTGAAAGCCAGCAGGCAATAAAAGAAGGAGCAGAAGCCTTTGGATGGCATTTCCTTAGTGCAAGGCTCACAATCAGGCACCAATTCAGACTGCGAGGGGAGTAATGCACTGGAACAGAGGCTCATCTTCTCAGTGCAGTTTCTATGGATGTGTTTGCGCCGGGCTTTCGGGTGCTTTGATTTAGAGAGCTTCAATATGTCCTATTGAAACTGGTGAGGGCAAACTCTTCCGCTTCTGGAAGTGGCTTATATGACAGAGACAATTTCTCATTCCCTAATAATAATAATAATAATAATAATATTTTTATTATTTGTACCCTGCCCATCTGGCTGAGTTTCCCCAGCTACTCTGGGCGGCTTCCAACAAGGATTAAAAATACATTAAAATGTCACACATTAAAAACCTCCCTTCAGATGTCTTCTAAATGTCAGGTAGTTGTTTATCTCTTTGACAACTGATGGGAGGGCGAGTGCCACTACTGAGAAGGCCCTGTAGCTTTGCTTCTCGCAGTGAGGGAACCGCCAGAAGACCCTCGGCGCTGGACCTCAGTGTCCGGGCAGAAAGATGGGGGTGGAGATGCTCCTTCAGGTATACTGGGCCGAGGCCGTTTAGGGCTTTAAAGGTCAACACCATCATAGAGTTGGAAGGGACCCAAGAGTCATCTAGTCATCTAGTCCAGCCTCATGCAATGCCAGAATATGCAGCTGTCCCATACACAAGGATTGAACCTGCAACCTTGACATTATCAGCACCACACTCTAACCAACTGAGCCATCCAGGCACAATAATTACAGTCGTACCTTGGAAGTTGAACAGAATTCGTTCCGGAAGTCCGTTCAACTTCCAAAACATTTAGAATCCAAAGTGCGGCTTCTGGTTGGCTGCAGGAAACTCCTGCTTCTGGGTTTGCGGTGTTCAGGAGCCAAAAACTTTGACTTGCAAGACGTTTGGGATCCTAGGTACGACTGTATAATAATGTTACTTTAATCTAGACTTTGCATATCCATAACATTTGCTTCTTTTAGGTCAAAGAAAATGGGCAGGGCAACCCATCATAGCTCCTGGCATGGTCCAAAGATGGGTCATCAAGGATCAAACCTACCAACTGAAGACAAGTGCTCAAAACCACCACGCATGCCCTGACTAAATGAGAATGCATTCATTCACGTATTGCAGGGACAGGGAAACCAGTGCCCCATCCCGGATGTTGCTGGACTCCGGCACACATCAGCCCTCGCCAGAATCGCCAATGTTCAGGGGTGATGCAGTCAAATAAACAGCCTCAGCCCAGTATACCTGAAGGAGTGTCTCCACCCCCATTGTTCAGCCCGGACCCTGAGATTTCTGGCAGTTCCCTCACTGTGAGAAGTGAGGTTACAGGGAACCAGGCAGAGGGCCTTCTTGGTAGTGGCACCCGCCCTGTGGAACGCCCTCCCATCAGATGTCAAGGAAATAAACAACTATCTGACTTTTAGAAGACATCTGAAGGCAGCCCTGTTTAGGGAAGTTTTGAATGTTTGATGTTTTATCATGTTTTTAATATTCTGTTGGGAGCCGCCCAGAGTGGTTGGGGAAACCCAGCTAGATGGGTGGGGTATAAATTATTATTATTATTATTATTATTATCATTATCATTATCATCATCATCATCAGTGCACTGGGTCACCCTAGGGAGACTTGAGGAACATTCAGGGGAGCCCTGGGGGGCATTTTATTATTATTATTATTATTATTATTATTATTATTATTATTAAACAGTTGGAGGCCACAGGTTTCCCATCCTAGATGGATTAATTCACTGGCTTTACTTCCTTCCTCCTTTCCTGCAGTGGTGAAGGGGGTTGATATCAGCCATGGGGCTTAATCCAAGCTGGGATTCTGTTTTTCAGCAGGTGGCATGCTGTTAATAGCTGCTTCGAAATTTGCTGGTCCCTTCCTTCTCTCACCCCAGTCCCCTGTTTCATCCTTCTTTATAGAAAAGAACCCTCTACTTGAAGGCAGTGGATTCCTGTTTGCAGAAGCTTAAAAACACCAGGGAGGTGCCCATCAACTGTGGCAAGACACAGGTCACCTCGTTACAGTCTTCCCCACTATGGGAAGAAGTATTTCTATTCAAATGTTCAATTTCTATTCAAATTTCTAAGTTTCTGAATTTGCATTTGTACATATCAATTCTCACATGTACATTTTATTTCATCTTTCCTCTTTTAGCCGTGTGTGTGTGTGTGTTGCATTTCTTCATTTTTTGGCAATTCACAAACAGCCACCCTGTTGAAAGCCAATGTTTGCAGAGTGTATGCAGGAAACATCTGCGAGTGTCGCACACTTAAATGAAGCACTGATAAGGAGGAAGCAGCCAGTTTGTGCTAAACAGAGCTGAAGTATTGATGTTTTTTGTCTTTCCAGTGTAAGACATGGAAAAGACTGGCTTTCCTAAGGGACTGAGTTTCTATCTCTCTATCTCTTTCTATGTGCCTCTGAGTGGATGAACCTTCCACGTGAAGGTTTTTGAGAGGTCAGTTAAAATGGTCCCTGCATGATTTTTCAACCAAAATTTAGCTAGCCTGAACCAATGGTCCCATTGGCTTAGTACAGTAAACCTCAACCAACAGCAGAAGTTAAGCCCAGAGTTTGAGAAGCATGTCTTTCCCACCCAGCCCTGAACTTGTATCAGACTCCCTGACTATGAGAATGGTGCTGTACAGTCAATATATTATTATTTATTGCATTTACATCTCACCTTTTTCTCCAAGGAGAAAACCATGTCCATGGTTCTGTTGTTGTTTAGTCATTTAGTCATGTCTGACTCTTCATGACCCCCTGGACCAGAGCACGCCAGGCACTCCTGTCTTCCACTGCCTCCCGCAGTTTGGTCAAAATCATGCTGGTAGCTCTGAGAACACTATCCAACCATCTCGTCCTCTGTCGTCCCCTTCTCCTAGTGCCCTCCATCTTTCCCAACAACAGAGTCTTTTCCAGGGAATCTTCTTTTCTCATGAGGTGGCCAAAGTACTGGAGCCTCAGCTTCACGTTCTGTCCTTCCAGTGAGCATTCAGGGCTGATTTCCTGATTTCCATGGTTCTGCGCCTCCTCAATTAATCCCCACAACAACCCCGTGAGGTAGGTTAGGCTGAGAGGCAGTAACAGGCCCAAGGCCACCCAGTGAGCTACATGGCAAAGCGGGAGATTTGAATCCAGGTCTCCCAGCTCCTAGTCTGACACACTAGCCACTACACCACAGGGCTCTCCCTTGGAATTACAGTCCCTTGTCTTTGCTCTACTTAAGCAACAGCTGGGGTAAAGCATATATCTATATCTACATATCTGTATTCATACACTTATAGAGTTGGAAGGGACCATGAGGGTCATCTAGTCCAACCCCCTGCAGTGCAGAAATGTGCAGATGGCTTGTATGGGTATCAAACCCACAACCTTGGTGTTACCAACACCGTGCTGAGCTAACTGAGTCCATGTCACATTGAGACAAATCATTGGCCCATTGAGGTTAATATTGTATTTTTATTTATTTATTTATTGAATTTATCTACCCCCCTATACCCGGAGGTCTCAGGACAGTTCACAGAAAAGATCACAATATATAAAATAAAAATAAAAACAATAACCTAAGAACACCCCCCCCCAAAAAAGAGCCACATTTTAAGAGTATAGAATGTCAGTCAGATCAGAATGTATTTGCCTGGTGCCTAAAGGTGTATAATGAAGGCGCCACACAAAATTCCCTGGGGAGAGCATCCCACAGATGGGGAGCCACTGCAGAGAAGCCCCTGTTCTTATGTTGCCACCCTCCGGACCTCTTGAGGAGGAGGCACACGAAGGAGGGCCTCAGAAGATGATCTCAGGGTCTGGGTAGGTTCATATGGAAAGAGGCGGTCCTTGAGGTATTGCGGTCCTGAGCTGTCATAAAATTATAGAATTCTAGAGTTGGAAGGGACCCTGAGAAGCAACCCCCTGCGATACAGAAATATGCAGGTGGCCTGTATGGGGATCAAACCAGCAACCTTGGTGTTATCAACACCATGCTGATCTAACTGAGTCCATGTCACATTGAGTCAAATCATTGGCCCATTGAACTCAATATTGTCTACACTGATAGGCTCCCTAGCATCTCAGACTGAGAACCCAGTACATTTCCGAGCACAATTCAAAGTGTTGGTGCTGACCTTTAAAGCCCTAAACGGTCTCGGCTCAGTATACCTGAGGGAGCATCTCGACCCCCATCGATCAGCCCAGACACTGAGGTCCAACTCCGAGGGCCTTCTGGCGGTTCCCTCACTGCGAGAAGCCAAGTTACAGGGCACCAGGCAGAGGGCCTTCTCGGTAGTGGCACCCGCCCTGTGGAACGCCCTCCCATCAGATGTCAAGGACATAAACAACTATCTGATTTTTAGAAGACATCTGAAGGCAGCCCTGTTTAGGGAAGTTTTTGATGTTTGATGGTTTATTGTGCTTTTACTATTCTGCTGGGAGCTGCCCAGAGTGGTTCGGAAAACCCAGCCAGATGAGCGGGTTAATAATAATGATAATCATCATCATCATCATCACCATTACTACTACAACAACTCTCTGGAGCTTGAAGTTATTTGTTTGTTTGTTTGTTTGTTTGTTTAATTGAGGATGCCAGAGACTAAACTGAGGTTGTGCAAGCTATCCCTGAAAATTGTATGCTGTGCCACTGAGCTCTGCCTCCAAATGGTCCTAGAGGTCAACAGAGAGGCAGTGGCTTGGTGGCAGAGCACCTTTGTTGCATGCAAAAGGCACCAGGTCAAATCCAGGTAAAACTGAGACCGTCTCCTGCCTGAAACCAGGGAGAGCCGCTCCCAATTGATGCAGACAATACAGTGGTACCTCGGGTTAAGTACTTAATTCATTCCGGAAGTCCATTCTTAACCTGAAACTTCTTAACCTGAAGCACCACTTTCGCTAATGGGGCCTCCCACTGCTGCCACCAGAGCACAATTTCTGTTCTCATCCTGAAGCAAAATTCTTAACCCGAGGTATTATGGAAGTGAGAGCTGGACCATAAAGAAGGCTGATTGCCGAAGAATTGATGCTTTTGAATTATGGTGCTGGAGGAGACTCTTGAGAGTGCCATGGACTGCAAGAAGATCAAACCTATCCATTCTGAAGGAAATCAGCCCTGAGTGCTCACTGGAAGGACAGATCCTGAAGTTGAGACTCCAGTACTTTGGCCACCTCATGAGAAGAGAAGACTCCCTGGAAAAGACCCTGATGTTGGGAAAGATGGAGGGCACAAGGAGAAGGGGACGACAGAGGACGAGATGGTTGGACAGTGTTCTCGAAGCTACCTACCAGCATGAGTTTGACCAAACTGCGGGAGGCAGTGGAAGACAGGAGTGCCTGGCGTGCTCTGGTCCAGGGGGTCACAAAGAGTCGGACATGACTAAACGACTAAACAACAACAACAACTATTTCTGGGTTAGCGCAGTCTGTAACCAGAAGCGTATGTAACCTGAAGTGTATGTAACCCGAAGTACCACTGTACTGAGCTTGATCAAGGACCAATGTGATGGTATAAGGGGCAGCTTCCTAGGTAGCACACTCAAATTCCCATGCCTTCGTATCCAGCAGATGGCAATCAAGAGCCAACCATGGACTAGGCAGGGAGATAGCTCACAAACAGTTAAGCCAACAGGCTGCAGTGAGGTCATCTTATGCTGAGCTGGCAGTGGCCAAAAAAGTCAATTTCCTGAGCGCTTTCCCCCTGGCCCAAAAGTGCTGCCCGGTTTGCCCTCTTCTCATTCCCCTCCCACTTCCCACACTTGGGCTGGGCAGCAGCAGTGACCAAGCTGCTAGAAATTGCTTTGTGGCCACTGCTAATGGGCTCCCAAATGCAGGGAAAGGAAACCACAGGGCAGGGAGGAAGGGAAGGCTGCAGTGTCAGGGGAGCGATGGAGCTGCTTCCTTTGCAAAGCTGCGTGCAACTTGCAGCTTCTTTCTACTTTCTTGTCCTCGTGAATCTGCAAAATCCATCTGTTTGCATGGATAGGGTCCCTGGATATCCCTTTGTTTGAAGGCAGTGGGGGGGCTGGATCTGTCCCCCAAGATGGATGAGCAGGGGCCGCCCCCTGTCAATCACCTGATGTTACAGTGAGGACCACCTGACAGTCAAGGCTGGGAAAGTGTTGTGCCCAAACCGCCTTTGGCCCACCCTTATCTTTCACCGCCCCATATCAGGTGTTAGAGCAAGTGAACACAACTTGGGCAAAATAGCTTCATGGGGTGGACATTCACCACCAGTGGGGGTATTGAGTGATAATTCTCATTGTCAGGAATGGTTCCTTTCCTCACTGTTGCTCCTGTATACCTGAAGGAGCATCTCCACCCCCATCGTTCAGCCCGGACGCTGAGGTCCAGCACCAAGGGCCTTCTGGCGGTTCCCTTACTGCGAGAAGCAAAGCTATAGGGAACTAGACAGAGGGCCTTCTCGGTAGTGGCGCCCACCCTGTGGAACACCCTCCCTTCAGATGTGAAGGAAATAAGTAGCTATCCGATTTTTAAAAGACATCTGAAGGCAGCCCTGTTTAGGGAAGTTTTTAATATTTAACGCTGTATTGTTTTTCATACTTGATTGGGAGCCGCCGCCCAGAGTGGCTGGGGGAACTCAGCCAGATTGGCGGGGTATAAATAATAAATTATTATTATTATTATTATTATTGCACTTAATGGGCACCCCATATTTCAGAACCTCACAGATCCATACAACTTCCATTAAACCAGGGGTTCCCAAACTTGGGGTCTCTAGCTGTTTTTGGACTACAACTCCCATCATCCCTAGCTAGCAGGACCAGTAGTCGGGGATGATGGGAATTGTAGTCCAAAAGCAGCTGGAGACCCAAGTTTGGGAAACTCTGCATTAAACAAATAACCATAATCTGAACCACCACTTCCCGCTCTAAATTTTGAGCTAGCAATTCGGCAGTTTGCTTTGTTGCTATCAGTCCTACAGATTTCATGGACACTTGCTTTTCCTCGTCCTTTCTCTGCTGATCCTTCTTAGCTAGGGTTGCCAACTTCTTCACAGCCCCTGCTCCTCTGCCTCTAATCTGCAGGTGTTAACATTATCAGGCCAGACCATTTTTTTCTTCTTGTCACTTGATAACCCTAGCTCAAGGCTTCAATATTTGAATGAGCGGCTTTCCCTACTTGTCACTAAGAAGATCCATGTAGCCAACTCTTTTCTTGGCAAAGGCTCCTTTGTCTTTATCGGCTGGGTGTTAGCCTCGAGTTCAGCAGAAGCGGGGTTTTCCTGCAACCGTAACACCATGAAAGTCACACCGGTTGAATACCATGCCACTGTTAAAAGTTTAAAATGCAGAGCCTTGCACAAAACAGGGATCAGACAATAGACAAGCGCAGATCAGTCTGAAATCACGTTCAGGTCCACTTTTGGGCAAACCAAGTTGGGTAGAGACTGGTCAGCAGCTTAGCTTAAAGTCAAAGCACAATGCATGTAACAGCGATGTTGTTCCAGCAGGTTTTCCAGCCAAGCACTGAGGTTGTTGTGCTGCAGCTGCTGGAAGCGAACCCTTAATCCCAGTGATTCCTATCAGCTGGCCGCATCCAGAGGTCTCTTCCAGAGAAGGGTCTTACTCCTGATAGGGACGCGGGTGGTGCTATGGACTAAACCACTGAGCCTCCTGGGCTTCCTGATCAAAAGGTCGGTGGTTTCGAATCCCCGCAACAGGGTGAGCTCCTGTTGATCTGTTCCAGCTCCTGCCAACCTAGCAGTTCGAAAGCACACCAGTGCAAGTAGATAAATAGGTACTGCTGTGGCGGGAAGGTAAACGGCGTTTCTGTCTCGGTGTTCCATTGCACCAGAAGCGGTTTAGTCCTGCTGGCCACATGACCCGGAAAGCTGTCTGTGGACAAACGCCGGCTCCCTTGGCCTGAAAACAAGATGAGCGCCACAACCCCATAGTTGCCTTTGACTAAACTTAACTGCCCAGGGGTCCTTTACTTTTAACCTTACTCCTGATGAGATCTGATGAGTTCTGGACAAGATGGGCCCTTGGTCTGATCCAGCAGGCCTCTTATGCTTGGTTCTTATGTATTACCCATGTTGGCAACAGTGGTAGAGAAATGGGCAGCACAACAGGAACTGTTCCATTAAAATGCAATTTTGTACCACCAGGATACTTAGGAAGGTCTGTTCACCATGAAGCGGATCAGAAGCTCGGTGGCCTTTGCTGGTCCTGGCTGTCTCTGGGCTTTGTGAGGGTCTGGTTCTCTTAATCACCTGCTGATGAATTGGTGTGGAAGCAAATGTGCTTGATGGACGGAGGGATGCCTTCTTTCCTTTCGCAGACACAAAGCCCAGGCGCTTGGGGTTGAGGAGGGTTTGGGATGCTACATGTCCTCACCCCAGTACAAACCCACAAACTCACAGCCCAGTTTAAGAATCCACAGAACTCTGCCTTCCCTCTGAGTCAATGGACAGGCAGGAGAGCAGATAACCCCACCTTGGCTGGAGAAAAACCCAAGACCCAAAGCCGAGTGCAATTGTGGGGGCGTGCTTATGATCTCTCCTGAAAGCCATCAGCACTGGTGTGATGGCCTGGGATTCAGACTCAGAGGCTGAACCTGAGGAATCCCAGCCTGCACAGGAGTCCCTGCCTCCAGAACCAGCTGAGCCGGGGCTGGGGCTTGAGCCTGAAGGGTCCTCACCTGTGCTGGATCCTCAGGTGCAGGCACCAGCTGAGTCTGCTCTGGCTCCTGAGGTGATGGAGGACCCATTGCCTGCAGGTGCTCCACTCTCAGCCCCGTCAGAGGAAGCTGAGGTTGCCTCTGGTTCTGGTAACCCTCCAGCCTCTCCTGAGCTGCAGAGGCTCAGGGCAGAGAGGCGGAGGGAACTAAGTTCTCGCAGGAGGAGTGCTCGCCTCCAGGCCAGGAGAGGCGAGTCACCTGTGGACCGGGGCCGCCCTATGCCTCGGGGCAGATAAAAGCCAGCCAGCCGAGTCCCAGGTTGTGGGAGCAACATTGTTGGTAGCCTGTTCCTGCCTGCACCCTGTCCTGCTCTTCTGCCAGAGTTCCTGACCTCACCCGACTCCCTGCCTTGGACCCCGCTTCAACTTGGATGGACTGCCTCCCTACTGCACCCTTGGACTGGACTCAGACCTCGCCTCATGGTTAACCCTCGGAACCAGAACAACTGGGCTTTCAAGAGCCCCATGTACTACAATTTTAAGCCCAAAGGCCAGTTTTGTTTTGAGGCTACGGCTTCCGGAGGCACATGGGAGCAGCTGCGAGAGGCTGGAGCAGGCAGTGACACGCTGGGTGCAGGAAATAATCTGGCACTGGCGTGGCTTCTGGGTGTGCGTGTGTTTGGGGGCGGGCGGGAGAAGAGTGGCTTGTCCTTCCCTTGGCACCTCCCAACCCCAACACAGATACCAAGGAAGCTGTTGAATTATTAAGCAGGCCCTGTCCTAGGCATCTGAGTCTGACTTCTGCGCTGCTGTAGCCTGTATAAGAGGAACACATCCCCAGCCAGCACCAGCCAGGGAAACAGCTCGCTCTGTTCGGCGCAGCCATAAACTCCCAACTTTGGAGCAGAGTGTCAGAGGACGGAAGCATTTGGAGCCAGGGACCAGCTTTTGATTCTGGATGCCGGATTTGAAGGAAGGAGGCAGCTCATCCTCTCATTTCTTTCTGCCACACTCCTCCTTTTCTCTCTCCTCCCCCGTCCCCAATTTCCCTCACTTCTGATTCCATCTTATTTTCTTGCCATTTCTGTCCCATTTCTCCTTTGGGGTCTTCTTTCCCTCTGTCTGCTTCTGTTCCCAACCTTTCTCTTCCCCCTCTCCTTCTGACACCACCCACCTCCGTTCTGTCCATCCTCTCCTTCTCTCTCCTCTCTTTGGCAACCCCTCCTCGTTCTCCAGCCCCAGAAGAAGTCTTTCCGAAGCCCCCCTCAAAATACAACAGCCAACAGGCGAGAGGAGAGCTGCTCAGAGGGGGCCCCTGTAGGATGCCCATCCAGATATTTTGCACCATCTCCTTCTCTTCGAACAAAGAGAAGCACGCCGAGGTCAAGTGTGCGACGGAGAGCAATGGTGACAAACCCCCCTACGAACAGCAAGAGCCAGAAGCCATGGAGCAAGCCTATGAGGATGGAGAGGAACCAGAGGAGGAGGAGGAGGAGAAGGAGAAGGACGAAGACGAAGAAGGAAGCGCTCCAAACCTGGTGGACTTTGCCAACAGCTGCACTTTGCACGGCGTCAACCATATCTTCGTAGAAGGCAGCTTTGGCGTGCGCCAGGCCCTCTGGATGTGCGCGTTCCTGATCTCCCTCTCCATCTTCTTGTCCCAGGTAGCTGGGCGGATTTTCTACTACCTGGAATATCATCACGTGACGCAGCTGGACGAAATGGAGAGCGCCGAGATGGTCTTCCCCGCCATCACGCTCTGCAACATCAACCGCATCCGGGGCTCCCAGCTCACCTTCGATGACCTGTCCTATATCTCTCCGCTCGTGGGCTATGACCCCGGCGCCTACCTGGAAGCGGGCTTCCCATTGGCCTTGCCTGACCTGGAGGGCCCCGAGGAGCCTCTCAACCTGTACAGCTTTTACGACCGCCATGGCCACGAACTTGAGGACATGATGCTGGCCTGTAAATACCGTGGTAAGGACTGCGGTCCCAGTGACTTCACCGTGGTGAGTGGCTTGCGCATCAGCCCCTAGTGCCTGTGGGGCTGGTTTGGGGGTGGGTGGGCTTGATTAAGGTGCTGAGTTGGAGTAAGGGGGGGAACTTCTTATGGCTGAGGTCTGTGGGTTTGCTTACAGTAAAATTTGTAATGTCTTTATTAGAATCAAAGTAGTTTTTGAGCTCCCTGGATCTATTCTACAGACTGGATATTAACTAAAGCAATAGCAGGGGTGTGGTTGTCGTGCTGGGGAAGCCCCCGTAGTCTGCAGGTTGTAACAGTGTTTTAAGATTGAGCACAGGCTGAGCAGTGCAATCCTAAATATGTTTAACCTGGAGGAAGCTCCACACAAGTTAAAGGGGCTTACTCCTAATTCGGGGTTGCTTAAGGCTGCAGACTTCATTGGATTAGGCTTGTGCTAAATTGTAAACAGAAGGGCTACTCTGGGACAAAGAAACAACAACAGCTCTTCCTCCATTATTATTATTATTTTGAAAATGATTTGGAGTTCTGGAGCCATCTCTGGGACTGGTCGGAACACACAGGTTCCTTTTGAGTTAGGGAGCTGGAATGAAGAGGAAATGGGCTAGCCCTAATATTAGCAAAGGTGGAGATTAGGGAGGTACGGACTGGTTGGACGCAGAGGAATGGTGGAAGGAACCAGCTGGGGAACCTCCGAGGGAATGAGGTTCAGAGTCTGCAGATTGGTGGTGGGATGGCAATGAGTGGCCAGAGGGAGAAAAGGGAGAAGACTGAGAGAAGGAGGTGTCGGAAGCGGAAGAGGTAACAGGGCTTAGTGAGCTGGGAGGGTCTGTGGCAGTGAGAAGTCCAGAATGAGAGGCAGAAGCTGAAGCAGATGGAGAGGGAGGCCAAGAGTCAAAGATGAGCCATGCGGGTGAAGAGTCACAGGCATCTTTCCCTCCTGCCACAGCAAGCTCCCCTTCCCTCCTGACTCCCAGTACCAGAAGAGGCATGAAAAGGGCGAAGGGGAGGTTGGCTGCATGCAGGTGCAGCCTCTGATTGCTTAGGGGAAGTGCTGGAGAGGAAGGGACTTAGACAGCTGTGAGACGGTGGGGACTTTCAGTCTTGGCAACTGATGTCCATGAAGGAAGACCACTGGGAATGAGCCAAGTCTGTGGAGGAAGAGTTAACTCCATCTTTGAACCATGTGGTTACTGACTGGCACAACCCTGTGCCAGTCAGTGGAGACTCATCCATTAGGATGAATGGAGCACAGCTTCACCAACCTCAGTCTGCCCTCAACTAGTCCCCAACTGCCTGCTTCCTTGTTTGCAACCAGGCAGGGGGTGGTTCCATCTGTCATTGGTTCTGGCCTCACCTACTGTTGGTCTCCCTGCCTTCTGTCCCAATGGGCAGCAGCCACCATTGGGCAGGGCCAGCAGAAGCCTGATTGGGTGGTCTTGCAAGTGGTTAAGGGCATCTAAGTACCTGGCCAGAGGTACTCTTCAGCTGAAAGTTTCCTAAACTGCAAGTTGTTCTTGTTGTCTCGCAAAGAGAGAAGGTTGGGGTGACAGACTATAGCAGTGTTTCCCAAACTTGGGTCTCCAGCTGTTTTGAACTACAATTCCCATGATCCCTGGCCACTGGTCCTGCTAGCTAGGGATGATGGGAGTTGTAGTCCAAAAACAGCTGGTTTGGGAAACACTGGGCTATAGCCTCAGTGTCTCTGTTAGGAGCAGAAATAACTAGTATTCAGATAACTGGCCGCCATGCCATGCCTGTCTGCTCAGAAGTAAGACCTATTGAGTTCAGTGGGACTTACTCCTAAGTCAGGGTGTGTGCAGGATTGCATCCTAACACTCAGAGTTTTGCAGCTGGATTCAGCTAAGGGTTCATCAAGGCTTCCACTTGTCCCACCTCTTTCCGCAGGAAAAACCTTCTCTTTAGTGCTGATTCAGAGCAAACGTTGCTGAAACGTCAGGTAGGTTTTCCACAAATTGATGTTTGCTCCGATTCAGCTCTAAAGAGCAGGTTTCCCTAGAAAGCATGGAACAAGCAGAAAACCTCCCAAGTCCATACTTTCTAGGCATTGAATAAGCGCAGACAAGCCCTAACTGGCCTCTCCAGCAGAAGGCTGTACAAGAACTTTCACTCGTTTTTCCCTCTTTTCCTCCCCTCGCTTGCCCCCCACCCAATTGGTTCGGGTAGGGGAGAGAATCTCCAGAATGGCACATGGGGGGGGGGGGAGAGAAGAGAACAGACCGTTCCATCAGGCGAGCAAAAACGCTTGTGCTGACAGAGCAATCTGCTTAGCGCTGCTTCGAATTCCCCTCTATATTTTATACCAGCAGCTAAAGCCAGCCTTCAGCAATTAGGGGATGGATATAGATATATAAGCACACAAACACGCATGGTCATAATATTTAGTGGCCAGGCGCGGCCCAAGACAGTATTTGTGCTGGAGGGGGGCGGAATCCAAATGATCCCCTGCTCATAAAAAATATTATAATAGTAAGTAAATAATTGATGCGCCGCTTTTAATGCTACCTTAAAATCTGCTGAATAAAAGGGACTGATTTCTCCTGCTGAACTGTAAGCAGTGGCATAGGGTGGGGAACAGGGGGGCCATGGCCCTGGGTGCAAATTTTTTAGGGGGGCACAACCAGACACCCCCACGACAGTTTCCCTCATCAAGGCTGGAGCTACAGGGAGCCAAGCCACGCCTGGTCTGGGCCTTTGGGGTTGGGGGTGCACCTCCTTCTCCTTATGGCTGGTACACCCCTGAGAAGGGAGGGAGGAAGAAGAGGGAGGCAGGAAAGCACTGCTGGAGCTACATGCATGGCTCAGAGCATCTCTCTGCAAGGAGAGGAGAATGAGGCGACTCAGCAGCGTTCCTCACTTTGCGTTTCTGTCTTATCTCTGCTCCCAGGTTGGGGCTAGTTTGCAAGGAAAGACTCCCTTGATTAGACGCTGGCTGGTGAAGTTACTGCTCAGTCCACCAGGGGGCGCAACACTTGTCCTGGCCCGGGTGCTCGCAACCCACGCTATGCTCCTGGTTGTTAGAGTGTCTTAACATCAGAAGTCTGCAGCCAACACTCTCCTTCCTAACCCTCAATGGGTTATGTGAGACCCCCTCTAGTGAAACTCACAAGGGATTGCCGCCTTCTCCCTAGGCAGTTTGTCATTCCTTCACAAACGGTCTTGATCCGACATGGAAAGCATAAGCCAATGAATCTGTGCGATTGATTGATCCATTCATTTATTCTCCACAAAAGAGTTCAAAAAGCAAGCTACCTGGTGCCATCACTTGTAAAACATGACTCAGCCCCTTCAAATACAATTGGCATGAAACATCTGTGTACATCTTCTGATTCCAGTTTAGGCATAACGTGTTGGGGGAGGATTTTACTTATAATGAATTATTTGTGTTGCCTTGTAAAGGGAAACCCGCAATCTTTATTGAACAGGAGGAGTCTCATACCATCAACCAGTGCTGGAGAAAATGTAATATGGTACAGTGGACGCTCGGGTTGCGAATGTGATCCGTGCGGGAGGCACGTTTGCAACCGGCAGCACTGCGTCTATGCACACACGGGTTGTGATTCGGCGCTTCTGCGCATGCGCAAAGTGCTATTTAGCACTTCTGCGCATGCACAACCGCTGAAACCCAGAAGTAACCCATTCCATCTTTTCCTCACTTCTTTTGCATTTACTTGTTTCTCGGACCTCCTCTTACCTCCCTCTTTTGTATTCTAATTAAATATGTTAATTAAAGATTAATTAAAAACAATTAAAGATGAAATTGTTTTTAATTGTTTTTTCCTTTTTTACTTTGTATTTTTTCTTTTTATTGTTAATTTTTTCTTCATTAATGTGGTTTCTTTTCTTGTGAAATTTTAATAAATATTATTTAAAAAACAACCAGAAGTAACCCATTCCAGTACTTCCAGGTTTCGGTGCATCCGTAACCCAAAAAAACGCAACCTGAAGCGTGTGGAACCCGAGGTATGACTGTAATCAGTTAAGAGCAAGAGAGTTAATAGGTTAAAAAAAAAATACTTTAAATAGTTGACAGGCCAAGTTATTTCTACTGAGTTTTGCAGCTGGGAGTTTGCTGTTGAAAGTGCACAAGCTAAGGAGGTGGGGGGAAATGGAGCAAATTCAAGAGCATTTTGCATTTATCACAACTGTTAACACACCAGAGCGATCCGAAAACAAAAAAGCTAGAAAACCTCCCTCCAGGTTCATTGGAACCGGATAGAGACATTAATTGCATATATGCATGGGGTTTTTTGTTATGTAAATAGCACTCCTGATGGGCAGTATCTAGGCCATGGTAGAGTGGGAATTTAACCCGCCTGGGGCCACCGCCAGCTCCGGGTCCAGGAGCCACCCTCAGGAACGTTGGCTTGTGATGTGTGCAATCGAAACTTAAAACCAGTTTGGGGCGATGTTTCGATCACATCACCCAGTCCTACTCCCAAATATGAGGGACGTGGGTGGCACTGTGGTCTAAACCACTGAGCCTCTTGGACTTGCTGATCGGAAGGTCTGAATCCCCAGGGTGGAGTGAGTTCCCATTGCTCTGTCCCAGCTCCTGCCAACCTAGCAGTTCGAAAGCACACCAGCATGAGTAGATAAATAGGTACAGCTGCGGCGGGAAGGTAAACGGTGTTTCCGTTCACTCTGGTTTCCATTACAGTGTCCCGTTGCTCCAGAAGCGGTTTAGTATTGCTGGCCACATGACCCGGAAAGCTGTCTGTGGACAAATGCCGGCTCCCTTGGCCTGAAATCGAGATGAGCGCCACAACCCCATAGTCGTCGTTGACTGGACTTAACCGTCCAGGGGTCCTTTACCTACCTTTAGCTTACTCCCAAATAGTAAGACCCAAGTGGCAGCACCGCAGGGCTGTTGTGCATCAGCTGGGCAAGGTAAGGGGTGGGGAAGGGTCTCCTAGGCAACCCCTTCGGCACACTAGCTTCCTCACCAGGTTGCCAAAACCCACCCTTCTGATATGACCTGTTGTAGCAAAGTGAGGAAATGGAGGCAGCTTAATCCCTGCTCTTCAGGGAGCG